TCGCTGTCTCCCGAGTCCCTGCTGGAGTCCCTGCTGATTGGCTGGGTCTTCTTTTGTTGCCCTGCACAGGAGAATGGAGATGGAAAGCAGGTTAGGGGGGTGGGGAGAAAGAGGATTTTACAGTAACTTTCTCCAGGAGAGGGGAGGGAATGGGGATTTTGCAGTATCCTTTCTCTGGAGTGGGGAGGGAACGGGGATTTTGCCGTATCCTTTCTGTGGGGTGGGGAGGGAATGGGGATTTTGCCGTATCCTTTCTCTGGAGTGGGGAGGGAATGGGGATTTTGCAGTATAGTTCTCCCAGGAGTTTGGGGGGGGGGGATTGGTGGTTGGATTGTGCTTGATGGCAAATATTGAAACTTGGATTACCTCTTGCTATTGTGCTAGATTCAAAAGTTTTGGTTAAAACAAATTGCAGAAGATACACGTTCTTATTTAGCAGCTGGCTGAATTAGTGACTGTTTCCCCATTATGACTGTGATGATAAAGTAACTTTATGGCTAATCCTTGCATTTAAGACCTTCATGGGTTTGTAAAACAAAGGATCAGCTGAAGTAATATCACAAGCACAGTCATAGTTTCACTTTGACCGCTTCACTTAACCAAGTGGTCCCAATTGTGGTTCTTAAATGGGGTCTTGCCTGTATTAAAAAAACAAAAATCAAAGATTTCAAGATTTCAGTTTTGTGTATTCAGCTTTAATGCTGCCTAATTAAAGTTAAAAACAGTAAGATGCACAATGGGGAGGCTCTTTTCTTTTTGTGATTATTTACATATAAAGATATAACTTCTGGAGGGCAAGGAGAATGACTGTTTTCTCCTCCCTTCCTGTTGGTCCAAGTCCTTTAAAGAAGGAGAGTCTCATGAGCAGGAAGTATTTGTAGCAATACTTCCTGCTCATATTTGTCTTCCAGTAGATAAGATGTGTAGCTCAGAGATGAACTATGGAGTTTTTGGTGCTCTCTGAGGTTGATAGTTTCTGGGCATTTCACTACTTAACTAGGTAATGTCAACAGCTCTGTATGATGTTTCTCCTTGACTCCCCTGCCTCCACTCACAAATATTGCAAATCCCAAACGGAAGAGGAAATCATCTGACCTGCGGGAACATCAAACAGGTTGTGCCCGTAGTGAGGGCTACTACCACATCAGTAAGAAGGAGAAGGACAAATACCTTGACATGTGCCCAGTCACGGTGCAGCAGTTGGACCCCACTGATACCCAGGTTTGGCCCCTGTTCTTGTGATGTGTTCATCTGTTTAGCATGTTCTATGCAGCACTGACTCCAGAATAACTGATGGAACCATCAAAACACAATGAGCATGGGTAGACCCTCACACGTTATAAAGACTAGGACTGGCTATAAACCACAATGAAAAATTCTGCACCACGGTAATTCTTAAACCTTGTGTCAGTGAAGCGCTCACAATCATTTTCAGCTTCGTGGTTTAACCAGATTTTTCTTAATCTGTGTGAAATTTTCTAATGCTACATTTTGTAATCATATTGACAAGTGAGGTTTTAAGATTAAGATGCTGAAGATCCACCACCAGCAACCTGGGAATGTTTATCAGCAATTCTTCAATATTCTTAGGTTTCACAAGACATTGCTTAAAATTGTTAGCCATTTTCCCTTATTAATAAAGATTGGAACTGTTTTTAAAACTGAAAATCCAGTAGCAGAAAGCAGAATGGGAAAACAATGCAGAAGTACAGTTTATGTGAAGTGGAAATGTTGAGTGTGCTCTCATTTTATGTCCTATCATTGCTCCAACCAATTAACCTGGTAACTGTAGAAGGAACAACCTTTGTTAAAGTTATTTTACGTAATGGTACATGCATATGTTAGCCATACCATGATTTAGAAGTAGTTATTGTTCATTTATGATATTTAGGTTTATTTATTTATAGATTTTAAAGTATTTAGATGTATTTATTTGTTTATTTTATAGGCTTATAAGTTATCATTTTATAGGCATATAGATTATCAATGTATATGAGTTAAATCTTACTGTGTTATGGAAAAGAATATTCAAATTGCAAAATTTAAAAAGTATTACATATAGCTAGCTCCTAAGGCACTATCAGCATGGAAGACTATATGAAAAGCTTTAACTGTTGGCAGTATAATATGCAAATTGATTGTTAGTTTGTATGTTTATTTTGGATCTTGTTGTACGATAAATATTATATGTGAGAAATTGTACTATCACTTTTGCTGCCGTAGAGCAGTATTTCTCGACCTTGACAAGTTTAAGTGATGTGGACTTCCGCTCCCAGAATTCCCCATATAGATGCTCTGGGGAATTCTGGGAGTTGAAGTTCACACCACTTAAAGCCAAGATTAAGAAACACTGTCAGAGAGAAAGACTGTCTGCCTTAAGGCATTTTCATCTTGCCAAGGATGGATACATCCATAATTCAGATAATGAGGATTTTTCTTTTTCCTGACCTCTTCCTTTACATTCATTATTTCTAACAAGCTTGTCGTGTCTTCCCAGGGCACCAACCGTATCTTGTCAGAACGACGATCTGAACAAAGGCGTCTGCTGAGTGCCATCGGCACCTCTGCCATCCTCGACAGTGACCTTCTGAAACTTAACCAGCTGAAGGTACTAAAGCGATTTTATTAAGCAATTGGCGAAAAAATGGAAGAGGAGATGTCAGCTAGGGTTGGGAGCATTGTGGATGGAAAAAATTGGGACAGTAAACTTTGGTTTAATGATATTTCCTGGTGATGTTTTCTATCATTGAGCCTAGGACATATTAAAGCATTTTTTTTATTTAAGCAGGTGAACAGCGATAGTACTGTAAATTAAATTACTCCCTTTCCCCTTTTCATTTATTTTAGGTATTTTATTTTATAATTGGCCAAAATTGAAGACACATTTACTTTTTGGTACAACTTCCCTTCAAAATTTTAAGGACTGATCATCCTGTATTTTTTAAAAATGATAAAACCATTATAAACACCTATGAAGATTCTCAGTCGTCCAGGTTATGGTTGTCCCAAAAGTGCTTCCTTTAAAGAGGCAACTGGACTTTCTAGTTTTTCTTTGAAGACATTTCACTTCTCATACAAGAAAC